AGCATGGAGCCGGACATGGGGCTCAATCTCACCACCCTGAGATTGTAACCTGAGATGAAACTAAGAGTTGGACACTTAATGGACTGAGCCACCCAGGTGCCCCAGTGATTTTGTTTTTTTAAAATCAAAACTGTATTACAAAACAGATTCACAGGGGCGCCTGGGTGGCTCAGTGGGTTAAGCCTCTGCCTTCGGCTCAGCTCATGGTGTCAGGGTCCTGGGATCTAGCCCTCCGTCAGGCTCTCCGCTCAGCAGGGAGCCTGCTCCCCCCACCCTTCCCACTTTGCCCACTTGTGATCTCTGTCTGTCAAATAAATAAATAAAATCTTAAAAAAAAATAGATTCACAGAAGTCTTACCCCTTTTATCCTGTTTTCTTTCTTTTGAGAAAAGATTGGTAAACAACAGCTTTAACGCAGGCCAGATTTGGCTACCTAGCTCTTCTTGTAAATAATGTTTTGTCATGGCTGTATTCATTTGTTTACATTTCATCTATAGCTTCTTTTGTGTTGTAACGGCAGAGTTGAATAGGTATGACATAGATTATATGGCTTGAAAAGACTGGAATATTTACTGTTTGGCCCTTTACTAACAAAACACTGACCTCTGCCATAGAGAATCATTTTCATCATTTTTTGGTTTATCTTTTTTTTCTTTTTTAAGAGGAAATAAGTTAGTAAGTTTGATGTTTACCTTCCTTTTATACAAAAGGTAGCATTCTGTAAACATTTTATTCCATCTTGCTTTTTTTCACTTAACATATCCTGAAAAATCCTTTATCAATCTCTCTCTTAAAAAATCACATCAGTATCTCTCTTATTCCTGGGCTAGCACTCCTTATTTAGATGAACTATTTTATATTAACCTAATATAAATGGACTGTTGGGTTTTTTCTAGTCTTGTGATTTTAAGTAGTGTTATGTAAAAAGCCTTGTGAAAAAGTCATTACACATTTTTTGTCATGATATCTTTGGGATAGATTCATTGAAGTGTTATTCTTGAATTAGAGTTTAATGTATATTATCATGCTGAATGTTACCAGTTTCCCCACCATGGGCCCATACCATCCTTTCCCTTTCCCTTCCCCTTTCTTCCCATTTCCCCACTTCCCCCTTCCCCCTATTTGCTTCCCCCCCTTTTCCCTCCCCATTTCCCCTTCTTCCCCTTCCTTCTTTCCTATGGTAAAGAATACATAACATAAAATTTACCACCTTAGGGGCGCCTGGGTGGCTCAGTGGGTTAAGCTGTTGCCTTCGGCTCAGGTCATGATCTCAGGGTCCTGGGATCGAGTCCCACATTGGGCTCTCTGCTCAGCAAGGAGCCTGCTTCCCTCTTTCTCTTTCTCTGCCTGCCTCTCCGTCTACTTGTGATCTTTCTCTGTCAAATAAATAAATAAAATCTTTAAAAAAAAAATTTACCACCTTAATCATTTTTAAGTGTATAGATAACTGTGTATATTCACATTGTAGAACAGACATCCAGAATTCTCTCAATCTTGCAGAACTGAAATTATGTTCCCATTGAACAACAGCTGCCCCTTTTACCCCTCCCCTCCTGCCTCTAGTAACTGCCATTCTACTTTTTGTTTCCATTCTTTTTAACTACTCTAAATACTTCATATAGGTGGATTCATAGAGTATTTGCCCTTTAGTAACTGGCTTATTTCACTCAGCATAATGTTCTCAAGGTTCATTCATGTTGTAGCATGTCAGAATTTCTTTCCTTTTTAAGGCTAAATAATATTCCATTGTATGTATATACCACATTTTATATATATGCCTAGCAATATTCAAAGCAATATTTCAAAAAGCAATTCTTTGTTCAAAGAGAATATTTTTCACTCACTTAGCAAATACAGTGTGTTCTCTTCAAGCTACCCAGGTATAATCTGCTATCATGGGTGAGGTTTTTTGTTTTTTTTAGGGAGGGGGATGGTAGGGAGGGGCAGAGGGAGAGAGGCTCTTAAGTAGGCTGCACACCCAGACTTGGGGTTGGATCTCACACCTGGAGATAATGACCTGGGTGGAAATCAGGACTTGGTCACTTAACTGACTGAGCCACCTAGGCACCCCTGGAAATAGTGATTTTCTGATTCTATCAGTTCTTGTAACATTTATTATCTATGATTATTCTCTGAGGAAAAAAATTCATCTCCTTCATTTCCACAAGATACTGTTCTTACCAGAAAGGCATGATAAATCCATGATTCTTTATTTCTTTATCAATGTTCAGAATAGTGGGTTGTACGCTAGCAACTTCAAAAGTTGACCAAAGAGTAATTTTCTTTTTTCTTTTTTGAATGTTGTTATGAACTCAAAGGTGTTAATATTTTTTATATTTTCCAATCATTGCAGTCACCATTCTTAGTGACCATTATTTGAGCATTCTTATATAAACTTAAATGAGAAATTTGGCAAATAAGAATCCCTTCTGTTTCTGATTTCCTTTTACTTGCCTGTAGTAGAATTTTAATGTTTTGCTTTCTGATTTGATAAGATGACCCAAGTTCATTTTATACAGTTTCCTATGCCAGACCTGGAATAAGCCATTTCTCCAAGGAGCCTGATTTCTTTTATTTCTTTTTTTTTTAAATTTTTATTATTTTTTAATTTTTAAATTTTTTTTTATCGTGTTCTGTTAGCCAACATGTAATACATCATTAGTTTCTGATGTAGTGTTCAGCAATTCATTAGTTGCATATAACACCCAGTGCTCATCACCAACACGTGCCCTCCTTAATACCCATCACCTGGTTATCCCATCCCCTCAACCCTCTCCCTTCTGTAACCCTCAGTTTGTTTCCCAGAGTCCAGAGTTTCATAATTTGTCTCCTTCTCTGATTTCTTCCCATTCATTTTTTCCTCCCTTACCCTGTGGCCCTCTGCACTATTCCTTAGGTTCCACATATGGGTGAAACCATATGATAATTGTCTTTCTCTACTTGACTTATTTCACTCAGCATAATCCCTTTTAGTTCCATCCATGTCAATGCAAATGGTGGGTATTCATCCTGATGGCTGAGTAATATTCCATTGTATGTATGAACCACATCTTCTTTATCCTTTCATCTGTCCAGGGACATCTCAGCTCCTTCCACAGTTTGGTTATTTTGGACATTGGTGCTATGAACAGTGGAGTGCATGTGCCCCTTCATTTCATTACATCTGTATCTTTGGGGTAAACACCTAGTAGTGCAATTCCTGGGTTGTAGGGTAGCTCTATTTTTAACGTTTTGAGGAAACTCCATACTCCATGTTTCCTAGAGTGGCTGTACCAGCTTGCATTCCCACCAAGAGTGTAATAGGTTTCCCCTTTCTCCACACCCTCACCAATGCTTGTTGTTGAGTATCTTGTTGATTTTTGCCATTTTCACTGGTGTAAGGTGGTATCTCATTGTGGTTTTGATTTTTATTTCCTTGATGGAACATGATTTCTTTAAATGAGAAATTGATGTTTAAAGTACACAGTCTGAAGGCAGGGGTTATTCATTGCTACAGGGTTATCATTGCTTTTAGGCCTTTTCAGGCCATTCCTCATGCCAGATCTTCTATCATAATTTCTTGATTGTCTGAAACTTGTTACATGGTTCCCAGGGGGCATTTCCCGGGAACAGTGTTCTTTGAGTTCTGTGTTTCATAACCATTTGTTTCCTTTAGTCATGAAATGTATAGAACATGTATAGAACACGTATAGAACATCCTTGGCTTGCATTTTATTTCTTTGAGTATTTAAATATATAATTTCATTGTCTGCTGGTGTAAACTGTTTATGCCAGTGTCTCTTGTTGGTCAGTGCCAATGTCTTTTTCTTTCTCTTCTAAATAATTTGGACTATCTGTGCAGATGCCAATGAAATTTTTTCCCCCTTAAAATCTAGTAGTTTTAGGAGACTGTGTGTTGATGTTGATCTTCTGAGTTGTTTTCCCAGGTATGTGATATACCACCATTTCAATATGAAGATTTAGCCTTTTTAAAAAAATAGATTTAGCCTTTATTTTTAATTTCCAGAAATTTTTTGAATTATAGTGGCTAGTATTTATTCTATTTCATTGCATGGGTTTTTTGGGGGGGGGGCGGCTCCTAGAATATCTATTTTGTATTTACTTTGTCTTATCAGTTTTATTTTTAAATATCTTTTTAATTTTTTTTTTCATTTTATTTCTTTTTTTCTCCCTTATTTATATGGTGTCTTCTCTTACGTCTCTTCTAGTTGAGTCTTCATTTCTGGTCCTTTTCTGAGTTAGCTCAGATTTCTTTTTAAGTCTTCCTGTTATCTAGCTTTCTCATCTAAAGGATTTTCTAATTACGATTTATGTTGTTTTAAAGCTTTTTAGAAAACGTTTCTTTAGTTTGTTCTGTAACGTAAAGTTACAGTTTTCTTCTCATTTAGACCAGCTTTTTCTGCTGTATTTTCATTTTCTATAGGTATGCTATACATATTACTGTCCTCTTTTTCTTCAAGTATCATTGTATTGGAATTGATTAAGTGCCCTTTTCTGCGGCTCGTGTTTATTTTCTATGCGCTTGGAATGCGTTATATACAATATGTAATATTAAAATTTTATTAGCTCTGGATGATGTTAAGCTCTAAGTTGCAACCTATTAAACTAGATAAGCTGTTGTAAGTAAGTTAGGTACCATGTCCTTTTCTTTAGCAATTTGTTGTAGTTAAGACAGTGGTCTGTCTTGGTCAGTTGCCATTGACACCATGCTTGCTCTACAGTCTAGCAATCTTAGTGCTTGAAATTATATCTGTGTTGTATCATAATGTCTTTGTAGTGTCTAGCTATTTCATGGGCATCTGTAACGGAAAGATCAGTACCTTTTTTTTTTTTTTGCACTAAACAGATTTTGAAACTGATTTTTGTGGGGTTTTTACCCCCTTTCCAACAAAATAACCTAATTAATATATAGAATTAGTAGTGCTACTTGGCCCTGGAATGTTTGTTATTTAATGAGCCCTGATATGCTGCTGCTGTTTTTTTGTTTTGCTTTGTTTTAGGTTAAATGGAAACCATCCTTGGGAGCTGGATGCCTGTGTAGCCGTTTTATCACATCAGTGAATTGCAATGAGTGGAGGGGGAGAGCAACCGGATATTCTCAGTGTTGGAATCCTGGTCAAAGAAAGATGGAAAGTGGTGGGTACACATCTTGGAGAGAGAACATATCAGGGGATAATTTTTGGTATCTTGATAAAAGTAACATTTCCATAGAAAATAATAAATATATTGCTTATATACCTAAAGCATATTTTCAGTTATCTTCCTATGATTAAATCCTGTTTATACCATAATTCTTGCTTTATATAGTAGTAAATGTTCCTAATCTCTGATAACTAATGTTGAGTAAGGTAGATCAAAGTGTACTTAGGAAAGACAAACCACCACCAACAAAAATACCATACAATGAACTTTTTTTAAAAATGTTTGAACCTTTTATTAAAGAAAATTATAAGCATACGTAAAAATAACAAGACTGATTTAATGAACCTTAATGTACTCATGCCCCAGCTTAAATAGTTATCATTCTGTAGTCAGTCTTGTTTTCTCTTTAACCTGCCACCCAGAATATTTTGAAGCAAATCTTTTACCTTAGCATGTCTTCTGTACATCCTTGAGTTATGTATCTCTAAAGGATAAAAATTCTTTTAAAAATGTAATCATAATACTATCACACCTAAGAAAAAGTAAGAATTTTTTAATATTAAGTATCCTTTTAACTTTCACATTTCCCCGTTGTAAATTATTTTTAATGGTTTAAATCATATCCATATAAAGCCTGGGTGTTGTGGTTGGTTGACATCACTTAAGTTTCTTTTAATATCTAGATTTCTTTTCATCTTTCTTTTTTTCCTTTTTTTTTTTTTAATTGAAGAAAGTAGATCATTTGCCTGTAGAATTTCCCATAGTTTCGATTTCTCTGATTTCTTCCATGTGGTATTAACATGTTTCACTGTCTTGTGTTTTATGCATACTGCTATTGAGACTCAATTAGATCTGAGTTCAGGGTTGTTTATTTAGGTGGCATTTTTTTCATAAAGGGTATTGTGAACTGTCAATAGGAGGCACAGAATGTCTTATTACCTGTTAAGACATTGTTTGTCCTATAGCTCATTATCATTTTAGCACTACTGATCATCATTTTTAAGTCTATTAATCACAGATTGTGACATTCTGTCATGCCTTCATATTTTTAGTTGAAGTATGTCTACAAAGAGAAACTTCCTATCATCATCTATTTGATTACACTGAGATACATTTTGATTAGGAAAGCAATAAGTACATAATTTCTTAATTTACCAGTTTTCAGAATAATGAATTGCTGCCATATCATTTTCCAAAAGTTACCAATGAGATTTTAAAAAATATACAATTAAGAATTCATGGATTTAAACATATTTTAAGTGTTTTAGTTAGTTGTAGATATTATCCGTATGGATCCCCAAATTTTCTCACTTGACTAGGGGACACCATTCATGTTGTCTCTTGAGTCTTTTCAACTAATAATTAATCCTAATAATAAGTCTTTTGAAGTCTTCCTTGCCCTAGACCTGGAATCTATCATCTTTCCTGCTCTTAAAGACACAATTTTTGTTTTAGATGTATTTAAGTATATATTTTATCGCTACCATCTTTTATTATAGTTTTGTTCCACTAGCAGGTTTAGCAAAGTTATTTTAGTGGTTTCCTTACTCTATCACAGATTAGAAAAAGAAGATTGGTCCTTTAGAATTACAAATATTGTATCTGGGTTACAGTGTTTTGCCAGTTAGGCAGTTCAGTAGGCTTTGAAAATTTACTTGAGTAAATATAAGAAAAGAACCATGTTGTCATCATGGATTGATGTAGGGAAATTCCAACAGTTAGTAGTCTTTTATGTAAGTCAGGAATGAGTGTTGCTTTGGTGAGTATTTTGTATTAAGTGCTGTGATCAAGTTTGGCTTTTTCCAGTAGACATATCAAAAGGTGACAAATGCAGCTACGCCTGGCATAGTTGCTCTGTCCTGATAATCAGAGTTAATATATGTATGGAACATGCATATATTGGGAGGTATAGTAGCATTTTAGTAAGAAATCATAGGCCCATTTTTAGGGGTGGTGTTTTGGTTATCTATCATTATGAACAAACTACCTCAAAACTTAAAGGTTTAAAACAATTTTTAATTTGCTTACAATTTTGTGGGTTAGGAATTTGAGAAGAGTTTGCTTGGTGGTTTGTCTCTTAACCATGTGGTACTTGCAGGATTGTGTGGATTAGGGGATCCATTCCCAAGTGGCTTGTTTGATGACGTGGAGGTCCTTTGTTCTCTTACCCACCCCCCTTCATCTCTAGTAGCTTATTTTCTAGGATCTCTCCACAGGTCTGTGTCTTCTCAGGATGGTCAGACTTTTTACATAGTAGCTGGCTTTTGAGTGACAGGAAACAGAAGTGACAAGGCTGTTAAGGCCTATTCTCAGGGCTAGTGGTCTGCTGGTCAAAGCAGTCATAAGATTTACCCAGAGTTAAGAGGTTGGGGAATGGACTCTGCTTCTTGATGGGTGAATGGCAGGGTCACACTAAAGAAGAGCAAAGGTTTTGTTGATATTGTTGATATCGTCTTTGGTAAAGAAAGTCTGCCACTTACCTCTATACTTTCCCTAATCTGTCTACCCCCCCCAATACTAAACTGTCTCTAGCTCTTTGCCTTATAAGCATTAATGATGTCTTAGTGCTTTGTCGAGCTCAGTAAAAAAAATATTGATGTTCCACTATCATTGAAGTGACATAGGAATAGACCAAGGTGCAAAATCATTACTTTGGTGTAGCTTTTTTGTTCTGTTATTTGGTAAGTTCTTTTCGTAAAGTGAAACATAAAGCTACCTCTCAGTACAGTCTGTAATTAGAGAGGTGTCCCTTTTGTACTGTTTATGAGTTTTTAAAGTTACACTAGGCTTTGTTTAATGGGCAAATGTTAAGAATTGTAAGTATTGCTCAGGGCCCAACAAAAAACTTTTTAACTGAAATGAAGTTCTGGAACTTTATTTTAATCCTGAGTTCATACTGTAGCTCCTCATGGTATCTTTTCCCATCACCCACTGGAATAAAGGATTATGTCTCATATACAAAGCATTGAATAGTTGTTTAGCAGTAATTATGTAGTTACCACTTAGCCACTCGCTATAGGGAAAACAAAAAAATTGAAAAGAGTGACTCTCTCTGAAGAAGCTTGGTTTCACTGTAGGGGGCTAGGACATTGACAGTGGAAAGTTAAAAAACTGTCCAGTGTGTTAATATAAGTGATATCTGAGGTGTTTAGCCTAGTAAAATGAGTAATTAAATGATTAAGCAAATAACTATAGAAATTCAGAAGTTAGAAAAATCAGCCTGGGGGTAGTAATCAGTACGGACCCAGTGCTGAAAGAAGTAGAACTTCAACTGAGTCCTCTGGGGTGTTTAGAATTTAGGACTGTGTGCCTCTAGTGATGACTTCTGGCATTATATCACATCCTAGATGTTTGATAATGTGGAAGGGAGAGGACCTTCAGGAAATGGAAGAAGGCTAATTCCATGCTGTATCTAGCATGAAATATATTACCCACCCTGGTGGTTGTAGCTCTACAGGCTAAGTTGTCACACCTGAGAACTTGCCTATGATACTATGATACTAGAGATCCTGGTATTCCCCCAGTTAAGCAAACACATTTTATCAGGAAGGATATTAAGTGTTGGTTGAAAGTGTTTTATTTGATTAAGGTTTAGTATTTGAGCATATTATTTGGGCATATAGTTATATAGCATATTCTGGACAGGAGTTTTTCTCTTCTTTGGAGCCAGCTCAGTCCCTCAGAGAGGAGGGTAAGTGGTGCAGAGAGGGCTGGGCTCTGGTTGCCCCACTCCCACCTCCCCACATACACATCTCAGCTGGGTTCCAGATAAGCTTTCAGTTGGCAAAAAGATTTCATGGTTTAAAAAGTCTTCAAATGATTGCCTTAGAATTAAAAGAACATATCTGGTTGTCGAGGGGCATTTGTGGGAAGTGAAACTTTGAGATACTATGCTTTTTTGTGACATTTTAAATGCTGGCTGTAGACTAAATTTTAAAGTTGTGGCTAAGATAATTTCATTACCTTTTGTGGGCAAAACTGTGAGAAAAGGTTTTGATGCTATTTCTAGGCATTTGTTTTCTTCTTGACATATGTATAATTAATTTAACAATATTGAGATCTTTTGTCCTCAAATAGGGATAGTAAAATTATATATTATTTTTTTCAATATAAGAGATGAGTTGATTTCCAACTAGAATGTTCTAGTAATTGTATGTGTGTATGTTCTTATTTCCTGTGCAGTTGAGGAAGATTGGGGGTGGGGGCTTTGGAGAAATTTACGATGCCTTGGACATGCTTACCAGGGAAAATGTTGCACTGAAGGTAGAATCAGCTCAACAACCAAAACAAGTTCTGAAAATGGAGGTGGCTGTTTTGAAAAAACTACAAGGTAAGCTGCTTTGTATGATATACCAGACAGTTTATAATTTATTTTTATCTTTCTGAACGTCTTTACATCCTCTATTAACTGAATAATCAGGTGTCAGCTCAGTATAAACAATGCTTAGTATTTTTCTCTTTGAAATTTTATCACTAGCTAGTAGTAGTAGAAATATTAATTGCTTAGGCTAATTGGACTGTGGGAATTCTTTTCTTTTTTTTTTTTTTTTTGGAATTCCTTTTCATAGTGAATAAGGATTAGAGAGTGAATTAGCTGAAACATTCTGCCTTAGAAAGTGTTTTTGTAAGGCAAACGGTAAAAATTTACCTTTTTTTTTTTAAACCACTAAACATGAATACCTCTGAGTTGTTTCTGCCTGTGTTGTTGGAGGTAAATATGCTTTAATCACGTTAAGGAAACCTTCAAATCACACTGCAGGGTGGATTAAAAATAATAGTATTTGTTATGTGATTTCTTTAACTTCAGTTTCATAGAGTAACTTTTTCTGGCCCTGTTGTCATTTTTGAGATCTGTTTTACTACTTGGGTTCTTTTTTTTTACTACAAGGATAAATAACTTTTTTTCTGACTTTAACCCAGTGATGTAAAACCCTGAATGCATTGCTAGTTTGTATTCATCTTTGTTTTTTCAGGTTAATGATATAATCTGATATTACTTATTTTTAAATGTTGTATCTGAATCAAAATTAAATGGGTGATTAGCACATTAAATGATCTTGTTAAGTTCTTGAATGTTTGATATTGTTATAGGACATTCATTAGTATCTGAAGAAAATTCAATACTAATATAGAGCAAAAGAAGTTGCTGGAATTAGTAGAAATAACTGTAGTTGGTAGAAGTAGCAAGCCCAAAATGCTTTGTAGCCTAGGACCTAGGACCCTGTGTAGTCTCCAGGGTGATTGTACTCTCCTTGTGAATTCCTGGTGTTTGGAATTCTAGTAAACTGGCTTGTATTAAGTTGATGAAATGTGTATTATGTATTCTGGCAATGTCTGTTCTTTTAATCATTGTCCTTTGCCTAAGCTTTCTCATTACCCAGGTGTTTGTACCAGTTGGCTCATTTGTTTAGAGCCTGATGCTAATAAAATGCTAGATCTGTTTAATAGTTATTTTTAGCCCAAACTTAGGTTTCCCAAAACATGGGAAATTAGGAAGGCAGTGGAAAGATCAAAACCTATTGTCACTACTAGAAAAAATGTAACTGGAAAAGGAAGAATAGGGGAAAAGATGGCGCCCTCTTTTTTTTTTTTTTTTTTTTTTTTTTAAGCCTTTCTCCTTACTCCCTATTTCTTTGGAGCTGTTCTCAGCTCAGTGACACAGAGGCCACAAATAGGTGCAGCTATAGCTACCAGTTCCTGGTTTGCACAGATATTAGGGGGTCAGTTTGACTCTCAGACGATGATCCTAAAAAGGATGTGTCAGCATCAGTGGCCTGGAGCATGCCACTTCACTTTTCTCCTACTTGGCCCTGAGGAGGTGTTCCAGGTGAGGCAGAATACAGCTCCATAGCCCTTTCCATAGGTTCTCTTGCCTGTTTTGGCCACAATTTACCCAGGATTCTATGGGATAAAGGTTGAAGATAACTTTAGTACCTTTTAATGGATGAATTGGAAACCTTAGGATGCTAAGTCTTTCCTTCTATCTTCCATACTATACTGTTAACTAAAATGTTTCTCCTATCTGCTTATAACTACATCCTAGTCCTCACAGCTCTTCACATTCCAAAAACAAACAGATTTTTATCTTCTGGTCTGTATTTCTTCTTCTTCTTGCCTTTTTTTTTTTTTTTGAAGTTTTAATTTTAATTCCAAGCTCTGTATTTCAGTGAGGCAGCCCTTGACTCTTTTGTTGGCTTCCTAACTTATACCTTCTGTATATTTAATGCCTTACAACTTATTTTGAGTAAGGGTGCTTTAGAATCTAGGCCTTTTTGAGAACATTTTATGGGGCTGACTTAGGTTTGCCTCCTTTTGTATAATGACTTCTTACTCACTGGCCCCAATAAAAAGGCTAAGTGTGTAAGGAGAAGATATATAACCAGAGGTTAACTCTTTAAAGGATTGGTTGGTTTTGAACTGATATACAGGGGCGCCTGGGTGGTGCAGTTGGTTAAGTATCACACTCTTGGTTTCCGCTCAGGTTGTGACCTAAGGGTCATCTCTCTCCCTCTTTCTCTGCCCCTCCCCCTGTGCATGCAAGCTTGCTCGCTCTCTCTCAAATAAATCTTTAAATTGATGTTTTTGATAGGTGATATCAGGATTTGCTTCTTGACAAGATAAAAAAAAATATTCTATGGTGAATTTAGCCAGAACCCTAAGTTTTGTTCTTTGTAATAAATCAGTTCCCCTTTTCAAAACTCTCACAGTGTTTTTTCCTGAATGCCCTGAGTTCTTAGTTTTCTCTCAGTCTTTCCTGTACTTGCTAAACTTAGATTTCCTCAGCTCATGCATAAATCTGATTACTAGGATGATCCTTTCTCATCGGCTCTGAAAAGTGTAAGGGCTTTAGCATTTTACCTCATCTTTTCTTCTAAATGACCTCCCCTTTGGTGCTACCCAGATTACTTTCTTTCCACAACTCTCAGAACCACTCTGGATGTATCTTACTATTCTCTATTGAATCGAGTTTGACTCCTGAATCATACTTGGTTTTCACAAATGTGTTTGAATGTGTTAGTCACTGCTGAAGGAAGCAAACCATTAGAGACTCTTAAATATAGGGAATAAACTGAGGGTTGTTGGAGGGGAGGTGGGGGGATGGAGTAACTGGGTGGTGGGCATTAAGGAGGACACATGATGGAATGAGCACTGGGTGTTACATGCAACTGATGAATCACTAAATTCTACCCCGAAACTAACACTGCACTATATGTTAACTGACTTGAATTTACATAAAATTTAAAAGAAAAAAACAACAACAACTAAATCATCTGTCTGTAGGCCTGTTAGGTAGTACTTCTACACTTAGTTATTATTCTCTAGAGTATTCCTAGTACATAAAAACACAAAACTTAATAAGCTTTTCTTTTTATTAACATACATCTCCATATAACCATTTATTTGTGTTTCCTCCTTATCTCCATTTGGACTATACTGTCTTCAGACCTTTGTCTTTCAGTTCATTTGCTTTGAAACTTGGAGCAAAGGGGATAATTGCCTCCCTAGGCTGTTAGATTCTTTTTTATCTTTCTTCTCTCCCATCTTCAGTAAATGTTTTAGGGTGATATCCTGGCTATCTTCACTTCTCCATTTTAATGAACTCTTGAGCTGTATCTCACCACACCCCTCTTTTTTGTCTTTTTAATAAATACAGTTTTATTTGCAGTGCTGGTGTAAGAGAAAAAAAAAAACAAACTTCTGTCTAATGATTTCAAACTGATCACTAGTAATTCTGCAGTACCTGAGGAACCTACCATCAATGCTTTTTAAAAGGATTCTTTTTTTTTTTTTTTTTTGGTAACCTTAATGTTCTATTTCTGTTTTTCTTTTATTTTCTGTTTCTCCTTTTATTTCAAATTTATAACTAGAAAATTAAAATCTACCACAGTTAGACTCCAAGCCCTAGCAAAGATTTAATTAATCATCACATTAGCCAGAAAGAGAGAACAAATGAGATGAAAATATTTTGTTGTATCATTTTTCCTAAAAAGCTTGTAAGAATATAGCATCACCACATGAAACTATTTTTGTGTCAATTACTGCTACAAAAATGAAAAGTTCTATTGTAGTTTGTGAATATTCTCAAAGTGGCCAAACAGCTCCAAATTTATTACAGATTGTGTTCTACATAGTCAGCTTAAATACCCACACTATCTTTGAAAAACTTACACTGCTGTGGAGACAGTTTTATAGGGTTGTTTATAGGTCACTATGATGGGACTAAAAGCTAGGGTGTGGAAGACTTGTGGTAGTGCTAGGCATAATGGAAATCCCACAGACACTGTATTTTAGGTCTTCCAAGTGTAGTGGCTCACTTTTATCCAAGGCATAACTCAAATAATTTCCCAGAATATCAGTCATTTATTAAAGAACTTCTTCATCTCTTTATTTAGTTAAGAATTATTCAGGTACCTAACAGGATAGCCTCTTAAACTGTTTATAGCCTTGTGGACAATTTATGTAACAGTTTATTTTCATTTCCTTTCATGGTGGTTTTTTCAATATGTATTCTTCCTTGTGTCATCCATACTAGATACAATTAAGGAATTATTCTCATTCAGCACCTGAAAATAAAATGGTTTCTCTCAGAGTTCTCTGTTGAGATGTGAAACACAATTATTTTACTTTCTAGGCCTTGACACAATATGTGCTTTCTGGCTTTCCTTGTTAAACTCTGCATATGCCATATGTTGGCTAAATTTTTTTTTTATTTTATTTTTTATAAACATATATTTTTTTCCCCAGGGGTACAGGTCTGTGAATCGCCAGGTTTACACACTTCACAGCACTCACCATAGCACATACCCTCCCCAATGTCCATAACCCCACCCTCCCTCTCCCAACCCCCCTCCCCCCTGCAACCCTCAGTTTGTTTTGTGAGATTAAGAGTCACTTATGGTTTATCTCCCTCCCAATCCCATCTTGCTTCATTTACTCTTCTCCTACCCCCTTAACCCCCCATGTTGCATCTCCTCTCCCTGATATCAGGGAGATCATATGATAGTTGTCTTTCTCCGATTGACTTATTTCGCTAAGCATGATACCCTCTAGTTCCATCCACGTCGTCGCAAATGGCAAGATTTCATTTCTTTTGATGGCTGCATAGTATTCCATTGTGTATATATACCACATCTTCTTTATCCATTCATCTGTTGATGGACATCTAGGTTCTCTCCATAGTTTGGCTATTGTAGACATTGCTGCTATAAACATTCGGGTGCTCGTGCCCCTTCGGATCACTACGTTTGTATCTTTAGGGTAAATACCCAGCAGTGCGATTGCTGGGTCATAGGGTAGTTCTATTTTCAACATTTTGAGGAACCTCCATGC